TAGCATGCGATAGTCGATGCACGGCCTCAAGCCCCCTTCCTTCTTGCCCACAAAGAAGAAACTCAAGGCTGCCGGGGAGGTGGATGGTCGGATGAAACCTTGCTTAAGAGTCTCCTGGATGTAATCCTCCATGGCCTTGCACTCTGGGATGGACAGTGGGTATACTCTACCCTTAGGGAGTTTTGCCCCAGGCAGCAAGTCGATGGCACTGTCCCATGGCCGTTGCGGTGGAAGGCGAGTGGCTGCCTGCTTACTAAAGAAATCCTGGAACGCCGCATAGTCAGATGGGACGGTCGGTGTTTCTTGAGGTTCTGGACTTTCAACAAGGGTGGAAGCAACTTGAGCCGGAGCTCCCGGGCTTGACGTAGGCGGGGTAGATAGAAACGATTTAGGAGGTCATAGGATATGAAATTGCCCGAAGAGCCCGAGTCGACGAGGGCTGAAACTGAAACCGAGAGGTCTTGGGTTAGCAGTTGCACTGGTAGCAGGGATAATGTTGATATTTCTGGTTCTATTTGGAGGGTACTCACCGCCGGGCGTGGGGGTTTGACTGGGCAGAAGCTGATGAAATGTCCTGGAGCACCACAGTAAAGGCAGAGTCTGGCCGCTAAGCGGCGAGCGTGCTCGGCGCGAGTGAGTCGGGTAGAATCCATTTGCATGGGCTCTGGTACAGAGGGACCGCTGGTGGACGCGAAGGGCTGGTGGGCGGCTTCGTGGGGCTGGCAGGCTGACAACCGTTGCGAGATGCGAGTGGCTCGTTGTAGGAAGCCTTCTAGTCCGATGTTGTCATCGTAGATGGCCATTTGGGCGCGAATGGGAGGGTCCAGACATTGACGGTAGGCACTGAGGAGGGCCGCCTCATTCCAGCCACTAGTCGCCGCTAGTGTGCGAAATTGTAGTGTGTACTCACTGGTGGTGGAGGAGCCTTGATGAAGGCGCAGAAGTTGGTCGGACACGGAAAGTTCTCCTTTCGTGAAACCAAACACTTCCTTGAAATTATTTTTGAAAGCATCATAAGAATTAATTATGGCACTGGTAGCGTTCCATATCACTCGGGCCCATTCCAGCGCTTTGCCATTTAGGAGGGAAATTAAGAAGGCTACCTTCGAACGTTCCGTTGTGAACTTCTATGGCTGCATCTCCATAAACAGAGCCACTTGTAGAAGGAAGCTGCCAGACACAGCAGCGTCACAAGCATATGAAGCAGGCATGGCCATGGGACTTACAGAGGCAGATGATGGGGTGGTGACTGGCGTGAGAGAGGCCCTGAGGGCGCTGACCAGTTCCTCTAGGACCTCTGCGGTGGATGGAAGATGGGGATCCATGGAGGTGTTGGTTCTTGGTCCGGTCTTCTGTCACAAACAGGCCAGAGACAAGAGGAGTGCAGGTAAACAGAAGGGTTTATTGACAATGCTGACATGGTGAGAATCGAAGGCAGGTGAGTATGAGAGATATATGAAAGTTCTTGGTTTCTTAGCTTCTTGAGAATCTGGGTTCTGATTGTTGCAGGAATCCTGGAGATGAACCGGGGCTGAGGAGAATCGG